TTTGATTAGAAAGAATTGGTGGCATGGAGGAAAGAAATGGCTCAAGACAAGGCTAGAGAATGAGGTGATATACGGTTAGTCCTAATACTTCACACTTTTTCCTATAACTTTTTACTAATTCTCCCCATTTCCAACACACTGGGTCATGCAACATCTGATGGAATACTTCTTGTCACAGTGACCACGTGTGGAAAACAAGATGAGTCTCATTTACATATTCTTTAATATTAGCCTGAGCTCTCTCGATTTTTAAGGTTCATATTTTATTCTTGAAACTTAGAGTAAGTTGATAGTATTGTATTGCCTCAGACACGACCTAGATCTCTGCACATACCCACCATTCTGGATACATGAATGAGAGACACACGTCCTACACTTGCTCTCTGCTGAATGCTCACCCTGTTTTGCTACTTGGATTTCATCATCTTCACTCCTCATCTCTGTTTTTCCCTGTATAATCTGTCCGAGAATAAAAATACTCATCATTTACTGGGTATCTATCATATGGCAGAATTGGTACTAAGTCCTTTCCGTACTGTATCTCACTTAATTCTCACAACAACCAAATAAGGCAGATATTATTGGTCTCACATTACAGGTAATAAGGGAAACAATTGGCTAAGTTCATACACGTAAAAAGTGGCAGACATGGAATTATAACCTAAGACTGTCAATCTCTATACTCTTTCAACTATGCAATAATCCTCCTTCTCTAGGTATTGCTTCCCACCTCTGTCTCTTCCCACTGCCACACTCCCAATTCACACCCCAAATATTGTAGATCCATAGTCTGTTCTTTTCTTATTTCTTTACCATCTTGTCCACTCTCTTTATGCCTGGCTTTACCCTCGTACTGAAACCAATTTTCCTTTTCATTCAAGTCTTGCATGTCCAAACCGTTCACTCCTGAATTTAGACTTTACACCCTATCTGAGCCTTTATTATCAATCTGAAATTCCAAAGCCTGATTTGGCTAGTTGTTTTCCATGAGCAACTTACCCTCCAGGTTTATGTAACATTCAAGACCCCCTAATATTTGAGATACTTTTCACCGCACCTCTAGTTAGACCCCCAAATGTCTTTAAAGTCTGAATCTACATGACCTCCCCCACCGTACATTGACCTCTGATCCAGCCCCTGCCCTGGTGTGTTCCACCTCATTACTGCCCATTTCCTAACTTGGAGGTCTTTGTTAAATAGTGCAAATACCAGGAAGGTAGGATGGAAAGGAAAATGAAAATTTCAAGTCTCAGCAGAGATAGAGTAGGCATGCCTTGCAAGACACATAGAGGCAGGTAAAAGGGCTATTTTCCATGTAAGACAGCATTTGTAGATACTATATAGTGTTCTTGTCTCCAGACTGAGTGATCTTGACAAAATATAAATATGAACATGTGACTCTGCAGTTTAAATCCTTCAGTGGCTACTGTACGTCTGAATTCCTTACACTCCGCAGCAGGTCTCTCATGATATGACCCCCATGTTTCTCATATCCTAATCTTATTCCTTTGTCATATACTCAAGCCAGGCTTGAGCCACATTTGCATATACCCTGTCTTCTACCCGAAATTCTTTCTAACTCTTGCCACCTGGCGAATGCCTACTCAGATTCATCCTCTCAAACCATCCCTAACAGCTCTCCCACTATCTCCACTGCCTGCCCATCACCCCAGCTATCTGGTTTTGTAACATTTTAGACCTTAGAGCATCATATCATGATAACATGTATCATTTTGCTTACCAGTCACCGTTACCAGATTGTGAACTCCTTGGAAAATAACAATTTTATCCTATTTTCAACTTGTTCATCTTTTTATCTCTAGTGTCTAGCACAGTTCCTGATGCATGGTTGGCACTCAATAAGAAAATAATTTGTAATGTTTAATTAAGACCAGATATCTAACCATAGTGCATTCTATTTACGTCTCTTTAGGGACCTGGGTGAGGTAGGTCATCTTGGTTGAGTCTGGCTTAGAGATCTTGGTTCAGCTGTCCAGTGGTCAGATCAATGGAGAGGTGTTCTGGAGAATATGGCCTGTGCCGCCCCTGTGAGTCCTTGCCTCTCCACCTGAAGGGAGTTGCAGATAGGTGACAGAAAGGCAAAGGGAAAAGAAGGGGAAAAGGAAATAAAGGAGAGTCTTTTGAATAGCCTGATCTAAATCCTAGATAATTGCTTCTCTGTGAAACTCAAGAGTTCCATGACTTTGTGATTCTTCTTTCCTTGGAAAGATTCTGGGGTCTAGAAAGATTATAGGGAAATGAAAAATTATTCTACAATTGATTCAAAGAAAATGCAAAATCACTTCAATTCATATTTGTGGTAAGACTTTTAAATCTAGAATTAAAACATTACTTCTGGGCCTGTTGGATGCCCTGTTGGCTGATAAGAGCCCAAGATGCGAGAGATGTTTGTTTCATATGTTTTTTCTCTGTATCTGTTCAGTGTGTGTCTCTTCTCACTCCTCTCTTTCTTTCTCTCAATCTCATTCTCTGTTGTTCTGCCGCTGAACTTGGGCTGGCTTTGTATGTTGACTCCTCCCACAGTCCTCACCCAGAGAGAACCAAGAGCTGGACAGGTCCAGGATGCAGTGAGCCCACTGCTCAGCAAAGAAAACTGTTCTTTAAAAGACACAGCCTTGGGGATCTGATTCACAAATTCTATAGGAGTTTCAAGAACAACAATAACAAAGAAGTTAGAGAAATTTCCCTAGTGACTTCAAAAGGTCAACAAACAGAGAAGATGCTAGATGATCATCAGATAGAGAAACAGAGAAGAACAGCAACAGGTTCATGGCAAATCAGCCTGATGACTCATCCTAACCCTAGTCTCAAACTTTGATTTTCCTTCCTTTCCGTGGTTGTCTGGGAGGTAACTATTATTGGTGACCCATTATTTTAAGGCGTTAATATTATTCAGAGGGGGTGCTGGTGAGAGGATCATAATTACAAAAGATGACTTAACGGTGTTAAGAGTACATACTAAGCTCTAGGTAGAAGCACAAGTTTCCCTCCCATCCCTCTCCTCAGGAGAAGGGTGTTCCCCAGCATCGATACACATGATTGCACATAAGGCTAGGAAATCAAGCTTTGGTGGGTAAAGCAAATTTAGAAGTAGCCTGTTTGGGTTCTTTTATCTTTTAAGGAAACTTCTCTTGTCTTGGATCTTCCTTTTGGATTGTTTTACTTTGCTCTTCTCTTTCCTGCTTATGTAAATAGTTATTGAGAATAACTGAAGAAGAGGTTTAGAAGGAAGAATAGCCATTCTCAGAGATCCAAGAAGAAAATAAGCCAGGATCCAAAGCAAAAGAGGACAGGAGACCAGACAAAGGACACATGGAACAGGCAGCTGATGGCAAGTCTGCTCTACACCTTAGATTGCAGCAATATCTTTCCTCCAAATAAAATGAGATGAAATAATTGCAAAATTCAACAAAAAATTGTTATTACTACACTTACCTAGTTACTATTATGATGCAACAAATGTAGGAGTTTATATGATATATTTCCATGTACACTTATAAAGAACTCTGCTTCACAATATTCATAACATTTACTTATTTGGCTGATTTGATTATCAATAGCTGAAAGATTGAAGTTCTAGGATAATTCCAGATACTTTAGGTCAAAATCACTAACTATCAGGGAAATGCAAATCAAAACTACAATGAGATATCATCTCATGCCCGTCAGAATGGCTATAATTAACAAGACAGGAAACAAGATATGTTGGAGAGGATGTGGAGAGAAGGGAACTCTCATATACTGCTGGTGGGAGTGCAAACTGGTGCAGCCACTATGGAAAACAGTATGGAGATTCCTCAAAAAAGCAAGGATAGAACTACCATATGATCCAGCTATTCCACTGTTGGGTATTTATCCAAAGAACTTGAAAACACCAATTTGTAAAGGTACATGCACCCCTGTGTTCATTGCAGCGTTTTTCACAATAGCCAAGACTTGAAAGCAACCTAAGTGCCCATCAAGGGATGAATGGATAAAGAAGATGTGGTATATATACACAATGGAATACTACTCAGCCATAAGAAACGATGAAATCCAGCCATTTGTGACAACATGGATGGACATTGAGGGTATAATGCAAAGTGAAATAAGTCAGAGGGAGAAGGTCAAATACCGTATGATTTCCTTCATTAAGTAGTAGATGATAACAACAATAAACAAACACATAGGGACAGAGATTGGATTGGTGGTTACCAGAGGGGAAGGGGGGAGGGAGGAGGGTGAAATGGATAATTTGGTACATGTGTGTGGTGATGGGTTGTAATTAGTATTTTGGTGGTGAACATGATGTAATCTATGCAGAAATAGAAGTATAATGATGTACACCTGAAATTTTTACAATGTTATAAACCAATGTTACTGCAATAAACAAAAAATTAAAAAAAAAAAAATCCACTGTTCAGGCCCTTGGAGAATTTAGGTTTGCGTCTTTAAGACAAGTGGTTGGCCTAGATTTAATATGCAGAAATATTCTGTGTGTCTAGGAATAAAAATCCAGTGAGAACTGCCAAGTAGGATTCAGATCTTCAGATTTCACCATCAGCAGATTTCACCATCCTGTACTCAGCCCTTGACCCCCTCATCAGTGACTCTACTGCTCTGTGCTTATCTCAGCTGAGCCCAGCAAGTGAGAGTAGAGAATGGGTCAAGGGGGCTGCGTCTCTTCAGGAGCTTCTGCAGGGTTTGTAAAGAATTAGGCTTTCCTTTTTGTTTTTTTTTTTTGAGGGAGGGCTTATCTTTAATTCTCCTTGCATGGAAGTCAGTATAGAAATCTGGCTCTAAGGTGCCTGCAGAAATCAAATTCCACACAGAAGAAAAAAAAATCTAGGATTTTTACCCTAAAATCTCTAGGGTAATAACCTCCTGCATTGACCTCATCTTCTGACAGCTGGACTCTGCCAGATACCCTGCTGCCCTTTGCTGACTCTGTGTTCCCATCCCCTTGTTCTTTCCCCATTACCACATGCAGAAGACTCCAGAGAAACCTGGTTTTTTGATTTTGAAAATCCTTGGGTCTAGAAAGTGACATAAATATGGCAGCTATTTGAGGACTTATGTTACTGTAAGACCCAATACCCTGCTCTATCATCTCTGTCACCACTCATATGGAAGGTAAAGTTTGTTCAATTTATAATCTTTGTTTCTTCTTGAGCTCAAGGTAGGAAGAAAAAAAACCCATTGTTTTTGCAACTGACCCTACTCCCCGAGCAGGTGAGCAAGCCTCCTTTTTCCTGCTGGTCATTTCTGTGGGTACCAATGCTAATAGATATTGTGTCTCTGTACTTAATTCACACTTTGTTATTCCTGGTTGTATAAGTGTTTGTGTTTGGGTATATGCGTGAAAATATGTATGAATTTGTATGTGTGATAATATGTGCAGGGGATATACATTTATTGATTCGTTCAACAGATATTTATTGAAAAAATTGTCTGTGTCAAGTGACATGGATAAGATTACTGGCAGTCTTTATCTTCAAAGAATTTATAAAACATAAAAAACAAAGTGACTTGGAAGTAAATGTATATTATGTAACAGAAAAGATATGGTAATAGTAGTAGATATAACACCTAGAGAAGTGGAGAGATGGAAGATAACAACTCAGCTTAACGATGTCAGTGAAAGCTTGGGTGAGGAAGTGACATTAGAGCGAGTATTGGAGGATGACTAGGAGTTTATCCAATTGATAAAGCAGGAAGTGAACTTCTGTAGAGGAAATGGTATAGGCAAAAGCATGGGTTCATGTATCTGTAAGTACGACAGGGGCATGAGTTAGGAGTTAGGAAGTAGAGAGAGATCGCCTTGCAGAGATGCTTTAGGACCTGATCATGCATTTGGATTTAAGTCTACAAACAATGGAGAGCTATTGATTTGGTTTAGTGGGGAATTGAAAATGATACAATTATATAGATTGTTCTGTTATTTGAAAGAACAATATGGGAGGCAGAGAGATCATAGAGGTATAACAAGTAGAAACTATGGGGTCAGAAAATAGGTTTATGATACTGAGAATAGAGAGGAGAAGAGAGATTTGAGATAAATCCAGTGGCTATTTAAACTGTCCAGTAGGTGGAAAAGGAAGGAAGAGAAAATGGCTCCCATTTTCATCTGAGAGATTGACTTAGTAGTTACGTCAATAGAAGAAAAAAAAGGAACATTTGTGTAGAACATAAACTATAGAAAAAAACAGAGAAAGAGTATAATAGTTTCAATTTTGGTTGTCTTAAATTGGAAGTTAAATGAGAAAATACATGTAAAGTGACTGTCCCATATGTGTGCATTAAGTAACACGTGTTTATTATTATTCTAGATAATTAAAACTTATTATGTACCAAATAATAGCTGTGTTTATGTAAATTATTTCATTTAATCGTTGCAGGAAATGGGAAAATTAGATACTAATATTCTCATTTTATGGATGTAGAAACTGAGGCTTATGTAACTCAAATGACTTATTTAAGATGGTCTATTTATTAATTCACAGCCCTCAGACTCAAACCAAGCTGTCCTGGATCAGCAGGGCGTTTGCATGTTCAGTGGACAGTGTATTTACACTGCGTCTCCCCTACCAGGGACAGAATGTTATTAATCATTGTTTAGGTGAACCTCCTGTACTCCTGAAGCTGGGTTCAGCAGACACCAACAATGCTGAGATGGTGCTCTTTTCAATGAGTGTGATTATCCTCTTAGTACCTTTCTCCCTCATCCTTGTCTCCTACTGGCGTATTGTCTCCACTGTGTTTCAGATGCGGTCAGGAGAGGGGAGGCTCAAGTTGTTCTTGAGCCTCACTGTGGCTCCCACCTCACTGTTGTGGTTCTCTACTATGGCTCTGGAATATTTGCCTACATGAGACCCAATTCCAAGGCAATGAATGAAAAGGATAAGGTCATCTCTGAGTTCTATTCATTTATGACTTCCATGTTGAACCCCATCATTTACAGCCTTAGGAACAAGGATGTGAAGGGCGCTCTTGGGAAGCTGGCTGGAAGATAGTCCACCTTCAGATGCAGTGATTTCTGACAGTTTTCTTAAGTACTTGGAACACTGTGATTAACAGTGGCTCTACTATCCTCATCCTTTCCTTCTCTTGCTTTATTTGCCTCGGTTGATTTTCTTCTCCACAAATATTCATTAAATGCCTACTCTGTGCAAAAACTGTGCCAGAACCTCTCAATACTAGTATAACTTAGTGCCTTCCTTAAAAGATTTCGTTACGCCTGGGACAACAGAGAGCTGTGCTCTGTCCTAAGGGGAGGTTGCACTCTTCTGTTATCTTATGGTCTCTATCTGCATTTCTTCCTGCATTTCTGCCACAAGGAAGTGCCCTTGCAGCAGAGTAAACTCACCCTTGAAATGTTGGCCCAAGGGAAAAAATTTGATTAATCTCCCTGAGCATTTTTCTAGCATCCTTCACCCACTAAATGAGCTGGAAGCCCAAGTTGTCATACAGCCACCTATGGGCTTGCTGAGGTTTTGTTTCCACATTCCTGACTAAATCAACAGTGACTGGCCAGAAAGCCAGCATTCAGTCCAGACATAAGAGTGTCGTATGGCACCTATGGAATGGTACCCATTGGTGTTCTACCTCCAATTGCCTTATTTCCAGTTAAAAGTGATTGAATCTTATAGTGTTTCTGTGATGAATTTAGCTGTGGTGCATCATGACCCTTCCTAAGGCACCCCTTTCCTCTCTCTCCTTTCTCTTGCCTCCATTTTTTTGTGGGTGTTTTTATGTATAGTGTGTGCAGATGTGAAAGAGTATGTGAGTATGTACAATTGTCTGTGTGTATGTGTGCCTGTCTGTGACAAGTAAGTTTAACTATATAGAATTCTCTGCCAATAGTCCTGAATCTGACACCTTCTCACTCCTTGACTAAATGCCACTTTACCTCAGGCCAATCTCATCTGTTACCCAATCGTTTTCCATATCTTCCTCATCCTTCTAGCTGTCTGCATTTCCCGCAATAAGTGTGAGAGTGCTTTCAAATTTATCATTCTTTTTTTTTGGAGGAGAGAGAGAAGGTAGGTGAATTCAACTCAGAAAATAAAAACTAAATGTTTCCTTTTCTGATTATGAAAGAAATAAGGTGAAAAATACTAAAAAATAAACACATATAAAACAAAAAAACACTCTCTCCAGAAATAACTGTTGCCAATGTTTCAACTTTTATCCTTTCAGGATTCTCTATCTCTCTCTTTCACAAGAAAGCATGCAGTGATGGTGAGATAATAAGAATTGAAATTGTTCCATGTACATGAAGAACTAGAATAAGGCTCATTGCTTAGAGTAGGGCTTTTTCTGTACATATTCCACCAAACCCTCAGTGAAACGAATCTGGACAAAATTGCTGCCAACCTGCTTCCTAGTACTATGGATCTATAAAAAGCTGTCAGCCCAAGAAGGTTGGAGGAAAGTAACATAATATTTAGACCAAATATAGGAAATTTTAGGATTGGTGACAAGGACAGGAGCTCCAAAATGCCATTATAAGATTTGATATTGAAAGTGGCTGGTATAAAGAACCGCCAAGAATATTTTGAGAAGGAAAAAGTAATCACCTAATGGGGTGAAGTAGGAAGAGAGAGAAAAAGAGAGAGAAGGAGGAGGAGGAGGAGAAGGAGGAGGAGGAGAGCAGAAAGAGAGGAAAAGAGCTAAGTCCATGATCAAGGTTTTGGCAGGTTTGGTTTCTCCTGAGTCCTCTCCTTGGCTTGTAGATGACCATCTTCTCACTGAGTTCTCACGTGGTCTATCCTCTATGCACATGCACCCCTGGTGTCTCTTTGTATGTCCACATTTCCTCTTCATATGAGGACACCAGTCAGATTGAATTTAGGGCCCACCCTAATAGCCTCATTTTAATGTAACCAGCTCTTCAAAGACCTTATCTCCAAATACAGTCATTTTCTGAGATTTTGGGAGTTAGGGCTTCAACATATGAATTTTGGGAGGGCACAATTCAGCCCATAACACAGGAGATCCTCTATCAAGAGTAATTTGGCATGTGCAAAGCCTCCATCAGCTAGTCACATATGATTCCCCCTTAATTAATAGTTTATCCCTCCATTGGTAGTCACCTCAACCTGCCAGGTGGTTCTATTGGACTGAGTCCCTTTTACAAAGAGCCCTGGCTAATTCTCTTCCACAGGATCCACATATGGCCGAGTGGAGTCATACATGTACCCTGTCTTGCTAAATTCTGGGAGTGTGGAATGCTGTATCCCTTCTCCTCAACCAGGGACACCATGCCAGTCCATAATTGACCTTTGGATATTTTATGTGTGAGGAAAGTACTTGTTCTATCATTTTTCAAATTCCAGATAAGACACATGAAGTTCTCTGGCAGGGCTTTTGAAGCTCTTGTCACTTAACTTAAGATGAGGGGAAGCACCTTATTTTCTTATGGAGAGAGGAGTAAAAGACTATTCTGAAAAATATCTTCAAAGTATTCCTCTCCACCAGCTTCCAACTATCTCTTTTTTACACCTTAGAAAGGTTGAAGGTTTAATGTTTTTAAATCATCTACTGATCACCTCCATGTAAGTCCCCCCCTAATGTTGTAGCACCTCAGTTTAGAATTTGGAGGTACATGGAAAATATTGTTTTATTTTTGGATTTTAGATAATATTTCTATTCTATTACGTTAGCATAGAAGCAATAATCTAACTGAAATTCTAGGAAATTGAGTCAAGGAGTATAATTAAAAAATAATGTGCCATAATATTTTTAGTTATTCTTCATTAGACTCATCATTCCATCATTTCCCTTATCTCTTCATCTTTTTGTACATTCTAGCAAATTTGAGACTACACCTCTGAGCAGTCATTATTATAAACCTTATTGTCTTACAATATAGCAAATGAGGGCAAAGCCCTGCACATCTCCTTTTGCTCCTTATCGTCTCAGGGCATGCTGACTTCCAACAGCCAGTATCTGCATCTTTTGCATGAGGACTTTCTTTGGCTGACATGCCAGTTCTGCCCCCATGCCCAG